TATTTGTGTGAAATTATGTATATTTCTATACCACTACATAAATATGCAGAAAAGTGCCCTGTTTTAAAGCAGTACAGTCACTGGACCAATAAGAACTCAATGGAGATAAACGAGGTTCTGATTATCAGAACTGTTTGCTGAGCAGCACCAGTGTTCAATACACCATCACATTTCCTGTCACTGCATGGATGTATGTTTTGAAATATACCAGGGTTTCCCCCAGAAAAAAAAGGCTAAGCTAGCGGCCCACCGTGTTTTTGTGTTGAGATATTTTCAAAGTTACAAAAACTCGGAGGGGCACAAGTCGGCATCATCGTTTGGAAATAACAGCATGTGAGGCCATTGGGCAGCTGCAGCCACAGCCCTCACTCCCAGTTCAATGCGCCAGCTATCAACCTGGCTTAATCCATCTTTACTGTCACTGTTACCTGTAAAAACAAACAAACAAAAAAATCTACTTAAAATAAAATACTTAGCCTGGTGGCCCGCCAGGCTTATTGGGGGGAACCCCTGCTTACATTGTCAACAATTAAATTCACATAAAAACAACCAAAATACTTTATTGACTCCGAAGGGAAATTAAATAAATAAAAAATAAAAGTATAAAAAAGGAAAGAAAGCAGAAAATAAACTATGAAACTACAAGCTTTGATGGCAAAGTCTTTCCAGCTTGTCCACTGGTTTACCAGCATCCACCAGTATTATGGAGGACAGGAAACAACTTTGAGCTTTTCTCACGGTTTGATCAGGTTGTTCTCTAAACTGTCTGCAACAAAACCTTTTTTTAGAAAGATCATTTTCCCAAGCTACAGAGTTTGGTGCATTTCTTCTTCCTGCTGATGGTTTATAAAAGATGTCCTTGTGAAACATGTTCCTGCCCTGCTTTGAATATTTAAATCATAAAAAGGTCAAATTTGGTCGCTATTCAGAAATCCGGGAAACTTCAATACCAACAGTTTATCTGGGAGAGTTTACAGCTGAACATCAAGAGAGGAGCATCAGTTCACTGAGGGACAAAGAGAAGAAATGTAAGTTTCAGATCCCACTTTGTTTGTTTGTAAACTCCTGAATACTAAGATAATTTTTATTTAGGTAATAAGAACAAGTTCAGCTAAAACAGAGTAGTGCTATATTTACCTGTTCTGTCTTCATCTCTCTGCTCTCATTGTTTCTCTGTCCAGTGGAGGGAGAGCTGCAGCTTTTCACTGTTTAAATGTTCTTCATCCAATAGAGACAAACTGCTGGAGGAAAATAATTCATCTGACAGCAAAGATGCAGTGGAGTCTGATTCTGCTCTTCCTGATGGGTAAGTTGATCTGAAACATAAACTATGAAGAGAGATACCTCTTTACAATCAAGCAGAAACTTCAATAAAAGTTCTAATCATATTATTTTGAAACTTATAGCCTATATTGTGTATTGATGAAATCATCCTAATTTAATATCACCATTGTTTATGTTTACAGCTCAGTGTTGTTTCATGGACTGTCAGCTCTATCAGTTTCACTACATTAATGAGAATAAGAACTGGACTGAAGCTCAGCAGTACTGCATAAAGAATCACACTGACCTGGTCACAGTGACTAACATGAAGGACATGAAGAGACTCATCAACATCTCAGCTGGAGATCAGAGTGAA